GGGACCCGGGCCGGATCCGGCCCTGACTGAATCCATTCGCCGCCGGGTACCCCTCCCCACCGACAGATGGCTGGACAACGAGCACAATCTTATCCGCTGGCAATATTGCCACACGGCAGCTGGACACACTACATCGGTCCGTGCTATATCGAGTGACCACCAGCAGCCGGCTCACGCGCCATTTCCATTGGCGGCAGAAGACAAAGGCCAAGGATGCAAATTGTTAAAAAGTTGCGATAATGCTCTATGTGCAAATAGCTAAAACTGGGGTTGTTTGTCACGTGAATCAGATTTGCAAACGATTAGCATAAAGCTGTCAAAGTGATAAAAGGCACGGATAAGCTATCCAGAAAAAGAGAGCTTTCGTGATATCTGCTGCTGAACCTGCTGTCCAGCAGCAGGTACGGCAGTTGACAGCTGGGAACTGCTATTTCCTGCAGTCAGCAGGAAACAGCAGGTCCCAACAGTCAACTGTATAAGCTAGTATCAGTACCAGGGCGACAAAATCAACACCGTCCTATGCCTGTAAAAAGCAAATACAAATACTGCTACATACGCACAAGCTATTGACGTTGTGGTCGACACAGGATAAAATCCCCTCCTGTCCCCTTCATAAGCAAATCCTGGGGGGGGGGGGGGGAGGGCCACGAGGCCATGCCCACCCAAAACATTCCCAGAGCTTCATAAAAGTTTCGTCTACTTACCGTCTGTTTTAATTTTGATGGTGCGGTATCAAACATTTCTTTCCGTTTCGGAAAAACTTCATGAAGAAATGTTGGCAGCGATTTGAATATGAAAACAGAACGCATGTTGACGCATCTTAGTCATACTCGGCGCAAACATCGTGTTGGATAAGCATGATAAGCATTTGAGATAGTAAATGACGAACGGTTGCCCCCCCCCCCCCCACCCCCACCCTCAAAACTCCAGGCTAGATCCGTCCCGGACCCTTTTGCACTCCAACCAAAATTATCCCACGTCGCTCACGAGAGGCCAGGAGCTCACCAGCATGTTCATTGGAGGTTGTACTCTATTTGCATTTACACGTCAGTCCTCTCCCCTGTGGCATTGATTTGGCATAAGACATTGGCGATCTGTGAAGCTCGGTTTGAACACCACTGTTTAACTCTGAACAGGAAACGTCAAAACGCAATTTGACCGCGTGCTTGCCCAGCGGCATGAGCAGTCGGCGCGTGCGCATGCGCATGCGCACGCAGGCATCTCCGAGATGTCCATTGAAGCGACAGCGGGCCGGATGCCCGCTCTCGCCCGCGCTTGGTCGATGCCCGCTCTCGCCACCCCGCTGCTTCACACAGGTTGCAAGTGATTCTGAAGGCGGCGTCTTTGATCCTGCACCTGTCACAAAGGTGGCGTCTTTGATCCTGTACCTGGCAGAAGGCGGGTGTTTGATTCTGCACATATCAGAAGGCGGCGTCTTGGACCACACCCATGTTACAAAGACCGCGTTTTTGATCCCGCATCCGTCACGAAGACGCTTGATTTTGGCGCCTTCGAAAGCGCCACGAAGGGGCCTGAAGATCTTTGATTCTGCACCTGTCACGAAGGTGACGTTTTTGATCCTACAGCTGTTACGAAGGTGGCGTCTTTGATCCTGCACCCTTCACGAAGACGGCGTCTTTGATCCTGCACTTGTCACGAAGGCCGCAGTGGCACGCGCACCACTTCCGGCTCTCAGGTGGCCTTGGCTTGGGATTGTCTCACCAGTCGGATGTGGAATGTGGCCCACGGACCCACACCCGGCGAATCGTCGCCTTTGAACTTGGGACCATTACAACAACCTGTATTACTACTGCTTTTGCAATGTGCGGCAGGACCATTGAAATCGGGCTTGAGTGGGTGTCCTTTACGGCGGCCGAATCTTTTAAGTCAAGCTTGTGGTCGGTTAGCACCCGTGTGGTTGTGGACGTGAGTCACAGCAGGGACAATGGACGCCCCTCTTTCTGGGTATGCGCGTTCCTGTTTCTCAGTTCTCTTGGGGCTTGAGTCGAACAGCGGTACGGTGTGTTTCACCTGCCAGACATCAAAACGCTGTGGTGTGCACCAACAGACACGGCCAATTGCACAGATTTGGCTGACCGTGCGCAGTCGCGTGCTACTCCTTTGCGTAATACGAAACATTCAGCCTAACATCCAGCCAGATCCCGACACCGCCTAACACTCAGCCAGATCCCCGGCACTTCCTCAAAAACACAAGCACAGAACCAACCTAAGGAACTCCTCATTTCGCGAGCTCCATACCAATCACGACATCTCGCTGCGCGGGGTGCCGAAGTCACGGGCGTAAGTAGAGCCGGAGAGCTCCAGGTCCGGCTGCCGCCACTCAGCCGCTGCCGACCGCTGGGCAGTGTCACATGCGCTGACGGCCGTGCGTTCAGGGGAGGGGAGGGGGCAGGGCGACAAAGATTGGCAGTCTAGGCATGGCTCACACCCTTCGTCACCTCTGAATCTCCGGTGGTCGCCGCGCCCCCGCCCCCCTCCCCCCCCCCCGGTCGTTGACCCGCGGCAGGGCCTGCCCACGCCCCGGGGCAGTGTGGCTCTGTCTTCCAACAGTTGTCGCTGGAGCGGAGCTGGAGAAGAGCATGGTGGAGGGAGAGATCCCGCGTCATTCGTGTGTTCAGCGCTCTGGCCGGAGGTGTAGTGTCCTATCAATTTGGGGAGAGAGGGGACGCTTCTCCTAACTTAAGCTTCAGAACTCCGAACTCTGACGATAAAGGGGCCAAATATGTGGAGAAACTCTTTGTTGTCGTCTTTTGGGGTGGATTTCGTCACTTTTCCACTGCATTTTCCCCCCAAACACACACTCATTTTGCGACCGGGGCTGTTTTGTCTGACACCACATTGTTTGTGTGTTTCTTTTCTCGTCACTCATGGGATGTGAGCCCACCATTCATCCGTTCGCCTGTTGGACCTCCCATATATTGTTTGCGTGTATGTCCGTCCGTCATCCGTCTGTCATCCGTCTGTCATCCGTCTGTCCACACGTCTGTCGTCATGGCGTCTGCGCGTCAGCCGGCCGACCGCCCTCCACATTCGTCACTCGCACACTGGAGTACGCGAATGACGTCATTCACGCCTCGGCATCTTTCCTCGCATCTCTCTCGTTCGCCACCCGCTCACCCGTCTGAAGCGTTTCACGCACGCTTGCCGTCCGCACTGCCCCCCCCCCCCCCCCCGTCATCGCTGTCGACTCTTCGTCTTCACGCCCGCCCAGCCGCGGTCTGATGCCAGCGGCGCCCGTGGCCTCCGGCCCGACACCGGCCCGCCCCGCAGCACAATTGGCCTCCATTGTGAGCCCGCTCCTCGGCGGAGTTCTGCAAGAGGCCGCGCTCGGCTATTTGGTGGCCTCGTTTCGTCATCGACACCCGGCGTAGCGTGCCGAGGCCGAGGCCGAGCCGGGTCCCATCAGTCCCGCCTCAGCCGGCACTTCAGCGGCCGGCTGCATTGACACAGCGTCCCCGATGCATCTCCTCACCGCTGGCCACAGCCGGCTGCATCCGCCGGTCCAAGCCTGAGCTACTAGCGGCGCTGGCGATGAGGCCATAGGCCTGTCATTCAACGCGGGCAGTTACGGCGCCTGTTTGCCTGTAATTAGGACATCCCACAGTCGATTTACTTCTTTGCGAACGCAACTACGAAAACGACGCCGGAAAAGTGATGCATCTTTGCAAACATCTGCTTTGCATTTTGCTCTCCTGTTCTCCCCATCTCACCACGCTCGCATCTCCTCACTCCTCTCCTCTCTCTCTCTTCTCTCTCTCTCTCTCTTTCTCTCTCTCTCTCTCTCTCTCTCTCCTCTCTCTCTCTCTCTCTCTCTCTCTCTCTCTCTCTCTCTCTCTCTCTCTCTCTCTCTCTCTCTATCTCTCTCTCTCTCCTCTCTCTCTCTCTCTCTCTCTCTCTCTCTCTCTCTCTCACTCTCACTCACTCTCTCCCTTTCCATACATTTCTCTGTGTGTCTCTATCTTTCTTTCTTTCCTCTCTCTAACTACCTGTCTTTCCACCCTACACCCTTCCACCTCGCTAACTCTACATCTCTCCGTCTGTCAGTCTCTCCATCTTTCCCGCCCCTTCTCCTTCCTTCCTTCCAGTTCCCTAGCTCTCCGCCTACCCTGGGCCTCGCAGCAGTCTCCAGACGGCAGCAATCTCCGCCCAGCTGTTCGGTGACCTCCCCTGCTCCTCCGCCAGAGGTGTTGACGCACAACACCGCCAGCTCGTTTATTCGTCAATCGTGTCAATCGCCAGCGCCAGTACCTCTCCAAACGCCGGAGGGTGGCGCCAGGGGAGGCTGATGAAGCGCCAGTGACTGCTCAGCGGCTCCAGGGTAAACACTACTCGCCGGTGGGCAGGAGTGCCTCCTCCACACACCCCCCCCCCCCCTCCCCCTACCCACTAGCGACCCTGACCTTGGGGCGACTGTTGCCTTTGGCCGACGGCTGGCCCGGGACGAGGGTTCGGGTTCAGGGCGTCCGACGCCGGCAGGTGGATGTCTTGTGCCCCTCCCCTCCCCCTCCCTCTCCTGGCGGCGTGACCTGGACGCAGCCGGTGACTCGAGGCGGGAGGGGGGGGGGGGGGGGGGGGCTGCACGTCTCGCGGCCACCGAAGCGGTGGTGCTGGTGATATGTTTGAGGCTGTGACAAACACCAAGCCCTCTGGTTAATGACAGGGTTTATGACAGTGACAGTGACAGGTGACAGTGACAGGGCCTAGTGACAGTGCTTCAGTGCCGCCATCTCACGGTGGTAGGCTGTGGATTCAAGTCAAACTGCTGCGGCCCTGTCGATTCCAGCGCACCACTCAGATGCTGCCACCTAACGGTGACCTTAAATGTCGCCAGGTGAACGGTGGCAGTCCTGCCGAGCGGGTCTGTTTGACGGTGCCGCCACCTAACGAAGCTTTGTGACACGTCACGTAAACAGCGGCAGTCCTGCCGAGCAAGCAGGCTTGACAGTGAGAGCCATCTAACGGTGAACTCCTGCACTGCAGGTGAACGGCGGCAGTCCTGCCGAGCGGGCCGGTCTGAGGGCCGGCGACGCCGTCATCAGCATCGGCGGGCAGAACGCCATCGAGATGCGCCACAAGGAGGCGCAGGACTCCATAGTCCGCTCCGGCAACAACATCAGCATGGTCGTCCAAAGGTGGGGCACTGCGGGGATCAGCAGCCGACGTGCCGAGTCGAGCGCTGCCGCTCGGAAGCAGAGTGGAGCGCCCGGGCTCCCGCGGCAGGGGGTACCCGCAGCGTGGCTGCCAGGCACGCACTGCTGACCGCTGACCCGACGGACGCTTGGCCGTCTGTCGTCAAGGTTTACTGGCTGGAGTCATCCGGGAGACGGAGACCACTACAGCGGCGCGTGCGCAGACGACGGCAACGTCCCGTGTGCAGATGGCGACGACGTCTGGTGTGCAGATGACGACGTCCCGTGTGTAGATGGCGACGATGTCCCGTGCGTAGATGACGACGGCGTCCCGTGTGCAGATGGCGACGTCCCGTGCGTAGACGACGACGTCCCGTGTGCAGATGGCGACGATGTCCCGTGCGTAGATGATGACGACGTCCCGTGTGCAGATGGCGACGTCCCGTGCGTAGACGACGACGTCCCGTGTGTAGACGACAACGACGTCCCGTGCGTAGACGACAGCGTCCCGTGCATAGATTACGACGACGACGTCCCGTTGGCAGAGCGCAGCAGCGCAGGCGCTCCATTCCTGGCTTGCGGTCCATTTCGACCTCTCATCACCTGACACAAGGCTGGATGGGGGCCAGTCGGCTCAAGCCGCTACCCGCCCTCACCCATCAACCGACGTAGGCGGCTGTGCAGACAGCCGGTATGTTCCTCTCAGTACAACCCTGGGAAGGTGACCTGCTGTCCAGTTCGCCCTCACCTTGAGCCGACCTGTCAGGCATGGTCGTCAACCAATTATCTGACCGGTCCCACCCGCCACCTGCCACGACCCCAGCAGGCACCAGGGTGTACTTGCGGCGTCCCGTGACGATACATGCCTCCTGCCGTGTCCATCCTCGTGACTTAACGATTCCCCATTGTGTCTATCCCCACGAAGCTACGAGCCCCGCTGTGTCCATTTTCCTGTGACGTCACGAATCCCTGCTGTATCCTTCCCCGTGAGGTCACGAGCCCCCTCCTTGTCATTTCCCGTGACGTCACAAATCCCCGCTGTGTCCTTCTGCGTGACGTCACGAGTGCCCGCCGTGCCATTCTACGTGACGTCACGAGTCCCCGTAGTCCTTCCCCATGACGTCACGAGTCCCCGCTGTGTCCTTCTGCGTGACGTCACGAGCCCCGCTGTGTCCCTCCCCGCGTCCCCACCTAGGTGGGACCTCTCGGCGGAACCCCGCCCGGTGCCGTACGCTAGCCGGGCGCCAAGTTTGCGCCGCGTATTAATAGCGCTTGGCCCGCTGTGCGCTATTTCCACCGCCGGGGTGGGCAGAGGCGCGCCCAGGCCGTCGGGCATGGGGAGGTAATGTGATGGCCTCGTGAGCAGGCGCATCGAAACGTGCCAGGTTGCAAGGCCCTCTGAATCAACTCAATGGTGAACCTGTGCACCAGGCGCCGGCGCTTTGCACTGAGGCGTTTGCCTGAAGGCTAGACGAATTCGGCGGTAGTCGGTGTTTAAGGCTTGGAGAGGGAGACAGGCGAAAGGAAAAAAAGTGGAAAGCGGAGACGCGCTTTCCATGCAATTTTATCAGCGCTTCTTGGAAATATATCTCCCGGCCCCCACTAAACCATTCTACACCCCAGCCAGCTGATTGGCGCAAATGGCTGTTACGTCATCGGCGCGTCTCGGTGGTGATTGGTGGCCGGGAGATCTGAGCTGATCTGGGTAAACACGCACACCGCCAGCAGACGGACAGCGAAGGGAATTAGCTGATACCATTTGGCAGCGCCATTTGGAAGCTGGATGATGATGTCTGCACTTCGGGAATACTTCGGGCAAGGGAGACTCTCCGACACGAGTTCTGAAAGCTTCTGAATAGGATCGAACTCCTGCTTGCAAATGAAAATTAGCCTGCCCTCATCCATCCATGTTGTTTTAGCGTGCATTATACTTTTTTGTTGACCTCGTATTGCTGTTATATTACCAGCTGTTATGCCTAATTCTCTTTTCTTTTGCACACTTCCTTACCATCGATAACCTGCCGTTAATTGCGTCAATCACCTACTTCTTGACGTTCACGTTAAGATAATAATCTACCGCTTCCCACTCTCACCTCAACTTATACCTGCCTCACCTAATGCAAAGGCCCTAAACCCAGCATTTAAGAGTCACGACCTGTTGATAATTCAATTCGAATTTTCAAGTTGAGAATTGGTGTGGATTTAGATGCCGACATTGACCGCGGATGTTGGTTACTCAGCATACCCACCAACACCTGAAAGGCTGTACGCCACGTGTAAAAATCACAAATTTCTGTCATTGCTAAGAGCAATGCTCACACGTGTCGATCCGTGGCAGCCGTCCTCATCGACCACCTATCGACAACAGCGCCATCAGGGGGCAACACTGCCAACCTGAAGTGTGTTAGACCACCGCCGCCCATCGGCGGCACGTTTGGCCCCGGGCCAGCGTTCTGTCTCCGGATGGCGTTAACTAGGCCTCCGTAATCAACGCCTCCCTCTTGTTCCTCAGCGGCTGTGTTGGAACTGCACCCAAGTCAACATTGTGCGTTCAAAGCCAATTAGCATGCGGGAAACCTGTCTGTGTTTGGATTGAGCTGTGCACGTGCTCGCCACTGTGTACGACATGAGCGTACAAAGACTCGCGAGTGGGATGTCATGGAGCTGAAGGAAGACGACTCCACACTGCTAACGAAAACAGTTCTGACTATCTTATGGGGTGCAAATATAATTTGGTTGAAAGTGGCCTTGCTAGTCGCTTTTTGGAGCTCTTCTCATGACTCTGAATGCTATATTTTGCCTCCCGAAACTCAGCGGCGACGGCCGGTTTTGCGGTGGAACTGCATGGGCGTATTTACCGCCAAGGCCGGTAGGATGCGGACCCCAGTTATCTGCCCGTATTTCCTTATGCCGCATCCTTACCCTCGTCGACGTACGCCATCCTTATTTTTGTCCTCATTCCGGCGTCATCCTGCATCCTCGCAGGACCCCGTGTGTCCGGGGCCGGCTGCGTGCGCCAGCCGTCAGTGGACGAGTGCCCTCTGGTGGGCCCCGTCCGAAGACGAGTGCCCTCTGGGTGGCCCCGTCCAAGCACGAGTGCCCTCTGGTGGGCCCCGTCCGAGCACGAGTGCCCTCTGGGTGGGCCCCGTCCAAGCACGAGTGCCCTCTGGGTGGCCCCGTCCGAGCACGAGTGCCCTCTGGGTGGCCCCGTCCAAGCACGAGTGCCCTCTGGGTGGGCCCCGTCCGAGCACGAGTGCCCTCTGTCGGGACCCCATCCCAGCACGAGTGCCCTCTGTCGGGACACCTTCCCAGCACGAGTGCCCTCTGTCGGGACCCCTTCCGAGCATGGGACACGTCTGGAGAGGAGTCCCTGTGCGGGCCTGGTCTCGGCGGGGGCCTTCACGGGTGGGTGTAGTCCTGCCCACCGCTATCCACTCTTCTCCATTCCACAGCCCTGGAATGGTAGCTGCGGACCGAAGGCACTCATGTCCAAGCCAGACCTAGACCCAAGTTACTTTGACGCATAGGTAGCCATTTCTACCGTTGCGAAATAAATAGCACAATGGAAGATCGAACTGCTGTAAATATTCGATAAGGACATCACTAGCATTGGAGTAGGAATGGTAGTATTTGGGGTTTAAGGGGCGCGTCGACTGCATCTGTCATTTAACGCCCCGATGCGTAGTTATGCAACTGGGTGGAAGGGGACGAGGCATGATCTTATTTCTAAGGAATGTTATCAGCATGTAGGATACCGCGTTATAAGTAGGCGAGTGTTCGTGGTTATCGCTGTTACACCATCACTCTTGCGTATTTACTTTTGGCCAAACCAATTTGGTGGCGAACATGGCATGTAACGCCACATCTAGTGCTTAGTATCGGACTACTCCCCACCCCCCAATCCCCCCACCCCCACCCCCACCCCATCCCACCTCCTCCTCTGGACTACTCTGGAGTCGTTGCTATGCGACTATCTCTCCCTGCTCACTATCCAAAGCACCCTGGCAAAACCCAGAGCAAAGGACCGATCCAGTGTCCGGCCAACCCCCCCCCCCCCGCCCCCTCCCCCTGCTCATGATGTCCTGGACCTCTAAATGCTGCGCCCATTGCCAGCTGGACGACGGTTTTCCCCGCTTTCCGACGTTTAAAACGGTCCTGCCGTCTTGGCACGGGCCGGCGGCCGGCCGGACGCGTCGCCTCGGGCGTCGCCGGCGGCGATGTCGCGCAGTCCGGCGGCGACGGTCGGCGGCGAGTGACCCCGCGCCCGCCGCGCACGCGCAGAGGTCAGGGGGCACGGCTCGACGGCGTCGCGGGCGGTGTGATCAAAGCGCCGGCGGCGTTGCGGCGCCGAGACGATGAAGTTTCCGTGTCACGTGAGCACGACCCGGGACCGGGGTCACTCTCACACGGATCATGGAAGAGCTGCACAGCCTGGGTAAGCGAGGGCCGATTGGCAATGCCACTAGCGGCGCACGCGGCACACGCTACTGGTGCTGTTAACTTTAAGTTAACGTTAACGATAATGTCGAGCGCGCACGTTAATGTTCACGCCAACGTGTGGGGTCTGCTGGCGAGCATCGCCAGCGCCTGCCAGCCGTCAGGAAAACGACAACGTGCACCACCACGGGCGCAGCCGGGATTTTCTGAAGGGAGGAACCCGGAGCTTGGTGAGCACGCTTTACGCTGATGTTGAACTATTTCCTGGGAACCATCCAGAGTAAAAAACGATAACTCCAGGACTCAGGAAGGGTCCGCCCCGCCGCCGGGTCCCTCCCTTGGCTGCGCCCCTGTTCGTCGCTCTGAATGGCGGCTATTGAATGCCGGTTTACATCACAGCGTGGAAATGGGGGGGGGGGGGGGTGGGGGAGTGAGCAGAATACCGCTGGTGCCAGGCACAGACAGGGTGAGGAACTGGACAGCGGCGTTGTGGTAATTCTCACCGCTTATCATTACTCAGCTTTCTGGTCAGGCAGGTCGGATTCTTTGCGCGTCTTGGAGATCATCAGGATGGCTGTATGGCAACCGCTAGCATTTGTGAGATAAATGGTGAAGGTGATGTCCTTTTCCAACGTGAGACGTGTGGGGGGGGGGGGGGGGTTCGACGTGGGACAATTTTGGTACACAAGTGTGGTGGAACACACGGTGGCCTCAACAGTGTGCTGGTAGGGCTTGCACTACAAAAGCATAAGAGGGGTTTCGGAAATAATACTCGTCTCTTTCCAAACTAAATGTCATTCTCGGTATCACGTTCTATAGTGCATGGCAGTGTGTCGTTCGGGGTAATTCCTATATCCTCAGGCAGATATGAGATATGACGTACGACCCCAACGACTCCAGTCTCACCGTACGTTCTCGCCCCATGACATTTGTTGACACCGATCTCAGCGTCGGCTCTCACGGGCCTCATCTGTGTGAATGAGAACGTAAGAGCGATAGCTGTTGCCGCAAGGAGTGTGCACAAGATAATTTATGTAATGATAATTTAGATAAGTTATTATATACAGATAATTTATGATAATTAATGATAAGGATCGGAATGAAAGCAGCGGGATTTTGTGCCGTAGTTGTTTTGCTGGCCACAGACCAGATCATACCTTCCTGCGATCATTGAACACAGTGCAGTTTAGTTGGAGCACCCTCAGTAACACACTTTGGTTGCATTCGATGCACTGCTTTTGTAGTTTGCTCGGTTTTGCAAAAATGGTGGCGATGTCATACAGCGGAACAGTTACATCAACCCATATTTACCAAAATAAGCACACATTCCAACTCTCAAAAAGCGCGTTTCAATAGAATATGGCTGCTAATCATGCTGTACGAAGGGTCTACTTGTTAATTTTTGGCTGTAGGCACCATCTAATGCATTTTGCGTTATTGTGTATATTGTTTGTGTTATATAAATTGTGTTGGCTAAGGTGGATCCGCAGCTAACGACGCTAGGGATATAGCAGCTTCCTATCTCGGAATTTTTCGCCTTTTTCGACTTTCGACCCTGAGACAGTGCCACTAAGGTCAGAGCTTATTTCTTGGTGTCAGGAAAAAACCGTACAAGGTAAGGATGTATGAGGTGATGCGGACGTGGACCTAAGGATTTACGCTAGCCTGCATTGCCAGTTTTCGCCGTCAAAAATCACGCACATTACCAGCTGAAGAAATTATTCTCGTGACCTACGATTTGGGGACCGTTTTTTCCATCATTTTCATGTGGTTAACACAGGCTTAAGGTTAGAGTGGGTAGAAGATTGAGTGTCCTAAGCGTAGCTGGAGGCTTCGGGTGCCATCTTGGGCTCGACTCCGTATTAACCACCTCACCTCATCCACCTTGCGTGTATTTGTATCACGTGTATTCGCACGTGGTCTTACCATCTCACCTCACTTTGGCAACAAATTAAAGTCGCCCCCCGCTCCGTACTCTGAAGATCGAAAGATGTTCGATAACCCGTCGCCAGCTCCGCCCATTCCATTAATGACCTCATCGGCACCAGATGGGCTGCGATGACACGCGCTGACGGCGGAATGAAGCGCAACCTGGATGTCGCAGTCGGCTGTGATTGGTTCGCATCAGCTGATACTAGTCATGCAAGCTGGAGCTGGGTACGCCCACCCAGGGCTGAACCATACAGAGCGAGTGAAGCTGGCATATTGAATAAGAGGAATGTAATGGCTTGTCAACATGCCATTCGCGCCTTAGCGTTCAGAAAAAAACTGCCTGGGTGCAGGCATATAGCTCCTATTTCCAGTTCGCTTTCTGTAATACTTGCCACGCGGTAGACACCAAATCTCGGGAAATCGCTTCCATCATTCCGTGCACGCTGTAATATTGCCAGACGTGGTTGATGACGAAGGTTATATGATACCAAATTTCCGTTGAGTGCATGTGCACTCTAGGACACGACTGTTTTGCTCGCTCACCTAGGAACCCTCAGCGATTTGAGATCTCTGAAGCTCCGTCCCCGCCCCGTTGTTGTCAGGTACCGCGCTGCGACATCGATGACCTTGCCGTGACCTCTGGGCCCGTGCCACCGCCTGCGGCCACCTGCGTCTGGGCGCATTGGTGACGTGTGTGTGGGTGTGTGATGCAGTTGGAAACAAAAAGAACAAGCATTTTGTGGTTATAGTTGGAGCTGGTCAGATCAGGTGGGGCGTCAAAGAAATCAAATTACAATGCTCCGCTTAAAAAAACGAACTATCTCGAATGTGTCGATTATCGAGCAATTGTGTTAAGCATGGCACAGTGCCTCGCACGTAACTGTTCAGCACGCGCGGTAATCATGATCTGTACGGGCAATCAACGAAGGCATTTTTCAGAAACGACGGAAATGCCAGCTCCCGTATGGAATGTCAGCGTCCGTGTGGAATGTCAGCGCCCGTGTGGAATGTCAGTGCCCGTGTGGAATGCATGACGTCACGAAATGAGAGTTGGCGTTCTGACCATCTGACTATGGTGTCGGTATTGGCGATGGCGTTCTGGCCATGACGGTGTCGGTAGTGGTGATGGCGTTCTGGGCATCACATTGTCGGTAGTGGTAATGGCGTTCTGGGCATCACAGTACCGGTAGTGGTGATGGCGCTCTGGCCATCACAGTGTCGGTAACGGTGATGGCGTTCTGGCCATCACGGTATCGGCTTCCGGGCGGAATGACAGTATCAGTGGTGCACAACTTAACAGGTGAAACTGGTACGGAAGAAACTTCACGCTTGGGGAAACTGGTACAGCCCGGAACATGAACACGTAGCTTTGTTTGAGCCTCAATGCTTGAAATCGGTGCCAGCTGGACCACAAGGCGTGGAGAAGGGGGCAGAGTCAAAACAGGGTGTGGGGAAGAGGCAATGTCAATACGTCTACCCAACTTGAAAGTATTTGAACATTTCCGCCGACAGCGTTCCATAAAGAGAGGCACCTTAAAAGTATTCCATGCAAGCTTGTCAAACAAGATGATGACTTGTGCTGTAACCGCTAAAAATGTCAACATGTTTTCAGTTGGAATGGAATAAAAATATCTTCTACATGATTGAGGTTATTAAGCCAAGCTTGAGCCGCTTTTTGCAGAGATGGCACATCTTTTCAAAGAGTTTGTGGTAGCCGTTGCATCCTGCCGTTACGTCCTCTCATTTCAAAAAATAATTCCAGCCTTATGACATTTCGTCCAAAAGCAGCAGGCTTTTCTCCCCTTCCCTGCCCTCCGTTTTTCGAGACGACGCGCCGCGTCTGGTGACAGGAGGACGCTTATTGCTAGGTCAAACCACGCAATTCTAGAACTTACCGCAGCCTTTTGAGTGCTGATAACCCAACTATAGATCGTCCATCAGTGCGTGGTTGGCGTACACGCTTTCCCTTCATCCAGTATCCCTCTGCCAACTGTTCCCATTCTAGCGTTGCCAAGCCCCACCCAATGTCCCCCAATCCTACCCGACGTTACTCATTCCCTACCCAACGTTCCACAATCCCTACCTAACGTTCTCTAATCCCCTCAACGTTCCACAGTCCCCACCTAACGTTCTCTAATCCCCTCAACGTTCCACAGTCCCCACCCAACGTTGTCCTGCGGAACGTCGCCGTGACCTCCTGCCACAGCGCGTCCCGCCCTCCCCCGGTGGAACCTCGGTGTGCTTCGCTCCCTGTGTGGAGCGCCATCGTGACCTCCTGCCACAGCGCGTCCCGCCCTCCCCCGATGGAAGCTCAGTGTGCTTCGCTCCCTGTGTGGAGCGCCTGTGTGACGCGCCGTTCCTGGTTTCAGGGGTGGTCTGGCCTCGCTCCGCCTGCCGCCGAGTGCCACCAGTGTACCCAAGGTGAGCCCGGGTCAAGGGTCAGGTCAGGGCCAGGTTAGGGGTCGGGCGAGGGACAGTCGTGGTGCTGCGTTGTGTCGATGCATGCAATACAAGAAGGTGGAGGCAAGAGTGCGTCGGGTTTTGACCGAAAAACCGAGCATGGTTCTTTACGCAAGAGCGATGCCTGCAACTCCTGCAAGAGAATCGGCCATGTCAGCGACGTCGGCAGGCGCTGCTCACGGGCTTGCATACAGGTGCGGTGTGGACTGGTGCTGGTGAGGTAGGTACTAACCTTCGTGAGGGAGTGAGGTGCCCCTGGAAGAGCTACACTGGCCCCGACGTGAGTGAGCATGATGACACTGATAACAGACCACGACAACGCGGCGAGGATGCGCGCTTACATCGGGGAGAGGGAAGTAGACTGACCTTTGAAAGGGAGTATACTGACCCTCCACGACAACGCGGCGAGGAGGCGCGCTTACACTCGGAAGAGAGTGGACTGACGCCTTTGAAAGGGAGTATACTGACCCTTGTGTGTGACTACGCTGACGCCGGTGAAGAAGCAATGATCCCGGCGAGATGAGAAAGTGCCAGATCCTGACGGATGGGAGTGTGGTAACCCTCGTGTGTGACTTCATTGACACCAATGAAGAGGCATTGACCCCGGCAGGCGGTACCATGTTGACTCTGTGTGTGATAACATCACGGATGCTGAAGTCTCCGCCGCCGGCGAGGGTCGGTGATTACTTGTTATTACTGTTAAACCCGTCTTCGATGGGAGGGAGTGCACTGACCCTTGTGTGTGACTACACTGACACGGGGCGCATCACCGATCCCAGCGAGGCGCAGAGCTCACTGACCCCGCGGCCTCTGTAGGACGCGCCGGACGCTGCAGCTGCCCCGCAGCAGCAGCAGCAGCAGCAGGTGCAGCAGCAGGCTCAGCCGGCGGAGCACCCGCACCCGGTAGGCGGGCGATTCGGCCGGTTCCCCCCGGACCCAGCCCGGCCGCGGCTCTGCTGAAGGAATGGGCATGCGGCGGCCATGTGACGGAGCCGCCGGCGCTGGCGGCGCTGCACTTTGCTGAGGCCGCCAGCAGCGGCGCGGGCGCATGCCGTTGTCTTGGGAGTTGGAGTAGAGTATAATTGCACTCTGGAGTAGTTACCTCTGGAGTATAATTACACTCTGGGGTAGAATTACACTCTAGAGTAGAGTTACACTCTGGAGTAGAGTTACAAGCCGGAGTTACAGGAGTTGCACTTGAGTAGAGTATCAGTAGACTGATGAAAAGTGATGGCGTAGAAACGTAGACATGGCCGGCGTGCGTAGATGAGGCCTGACAGAAAGTAGAGCTGTTGGTTGACAAACGTGGAGAACGTTAGTGCTTGATCAGTCGCAGTCAATGCATGTTTGGACATCGCGATGCATGCATCCTTGCGACGGTTTTCATGTCAGACTGCAGGTTTATCCCAAATTTCA